GCGCTGTGGCACAACTGACCCTCAGATGGCAGGAAGGCAGGAGGAATTGAAGGGGGAGAGGAAAGAGTAACCACAGCACTGCACCTCCCTAGATGGGAAAGACTGAAGTGACAATCCTCAGATCCAAGTGGTACTAACATTAGCTGACTTACAATTTGGAGATGAGCTATAATTAGACCCAAAAGACATTATCACCATGGAAAAAAGCTATTGAGTAGATTCAGTAAAGTCTCAAGGAGTCTCCAGCTTTCCCTGAAGACTAATTATTCCATCACAAGACGCCTCAAATTACAGCTCTCTATCTTGGACTAATGGGAACACACACAAATGCCTTGGGGACTCCATCATCTCTTCTTCATTCATTGCTGCTAAGAAGAATCAAGCACTTCTCTTTCTCCTTGTCATGCCCCTGGAGCAGCAAACCTAATGGCAAAAGGCACTGGTGAACAGTCACAGTGAATTTAGGAGACAGAAAAACCTGAGTACCCCTAAAAGAGTGAAGAGTGATGCTTTTAAATGAAGGTTGAACCAGCAATTACAATTAAAACTTAGGAGCTCCGATTTAATTTTCTCCTGTGTGGCCTTGGGAAAATTACTTATGGTATATATATGCTGTGTAGTGCTATGCAGATAAACCCAAGTCAGTTCTAAACAATACCCTTCTCAGCAACGTAAATTAACTAATGTGGAATTCCATGCTACCACAGCTAGCCTTTTGCCAATATCTAAGCTAGTTTGTTTACAGCTAGCTTGGATATCTTTGCACTGTGCTGAACTTTACAGTATATATCAGTGCTTCTCAATTGGGCTGCAGCAAACCTCTTTAAGGATTCTGTGACACCAGCACCAGAGCCACTGCCACTGCAGCCAAGTGAAAATGCCCCACACACAGGGTGACAACACATCCTAGTTTGGCTGGGATAGTCCTGGATTTCATAAGCTGTCCCGGTGTCCCAGCCGGTTGGTGAAAATTGAAACAAGAGCCTTGGGATCAGTGCCACAGGTGGACTTGTACTTTGGCATGTGCCCCCTCCACCCAAGTCAGCAGGGCCGCTGCAGACAGAGGTAGGCCGGCAGAGGCATGAGGCACAGTCAGAGAATCAGAGAATCATATCATAGAATCATAAGGCTGGACGGGACCCCAAAGGATCATCGGGTCCTGCAAGGAGGCAGAGTGGCATGGTGTGCTAGGCAGGCAGGCACCTGCACGTGTCTGGCCCGGCTCCTCCTGTACAGCAGCTAGAGGAAGGGGGCGAAATGAGCTAGGCTGGGCACTGCTCCAGTCTACCCGCTTTGCTCCCACACAGCAGCAGCAGTGCCTGCCTGGTGCACCATGCCTCTCAGCCTTCACTTAAAACAATGTGTTCCAGATTTCCTTAAAAATCATATGGTCACCATACCCATGCACCTCCATTTCTAGCAGCTGCTACAGAACCAGGCACTCCTGCCTGCATTAGATTTATCAGAGAAACTTAATACAAACAGAAGCACCCCCTCCTGCAACCCGCTTCCTGGTCCAGCTCTGCACACACCTTCTGGACCCCTCTCCTCTAGCTCTAGGCTTACTGCGGATCTGGAATGAGTTCCCTGTATCCATGCACTAAATGAGGTGTCAGCCTTGTCCTGCAGTGATCAGACTTTTTTGCTTGCATATTGGGAACTATCAAAGGCAGTTGCTATGTCCATATGCTGGGTTGCCCCCTATTTGTGGTTTGGGATGCTTCCTTTGAAGTGGTATCAGCTTCTCCATCTCATTTCAAATCTCAAGTCTGTTGCCAATTCTTTTCAGTTTCCCCCTTCTTTTATTGTATCTGTATCTGTGACAACAAATGGACCTAAGACAAGGTTCTAAACACGCTATGAAAGTGTATGATGGTCAAACACACGATGTATCAAGCACAAATAAAAAGCTGTATCCAGGCTCCTGTACCACTGCTGCCACCAGGTCGAACTGTCCCACTCAAGGTACATGCTGGGCTGGAGCAGGAAAAGGCTTTGACAGGAGAGGGCACTCCTGCCTGCATTGGGTGTATTAGATAAAGTAGGTAAGCTGAGGCAATACAACAGTGGTCTTTAACTGTGGGGTCACAAATTCAAAGACATTGTGGAGAGGTACCTCGAGTCTAAAAAGGTTGAGAAACACTGATGCGGACATATCCTTAAGCTTTCTGTGCTTCTGTACCTAGCTTCTAAAACGGAAATAAAATAACATTTCCTTTCTCCTTCACTTTGTCTGTAGTCCAGAGCACTGGCCTGGAACACCCAAGACCTAGGTTTATGTCTTTGCTCTACCACAGACTTCCTATGTGACCCAGCACATGTCACTTAGGGCCAAATTCTATTCTCCCTATTAGACATGTAAGTAGACTTAGGTGCCTAAATATGATTCTATTCCACCCTGCCTGAGTCCCTGAAAAACAGTTAATGCAAAAGGTGGGTAGGTCCTCCTCTTCCTGACTGCTTTTGAGACTCAATTTTAAATGTAAGATCACTGTGTTATAAAAGCAGATGGATTTTCAAGACTTGAATAGGATGGACTAGAATTGCATTTAGATACCTAACAGGTGGAAGAGAATCTCTTTCCTAGTCCCTCTGTGACTCATTTCCCCTCTATACAGAATGAAAAAAGAAGTACTTCCACACTTCATAGGGATACTTTGAGGATAAATTCATCAAAAACTATGAGAACTAAGAGCAAGAAAGCCCAGTTAAGTAACTTAGATGTACGTCTTTTTGGAAGAAAATCTATCCAATACCTGTGCCTTTCGACACAGAACAAACATTGAATCAAGCTTTGCAGAATGCTACTGAACCTGTCCGTTAAACCTGCTAATGAACTGCGTGATGATATTGGCTCTAACATTGTAGCAGATCAGTTTCCTTGTCCCAGTGAGACAGGCAGGCAAGGTCACTTCACACACAATTTTTTTTTCCATTAAACAAAGTGTGAAAGCAGTAAGTATTAAAGGATGCTTTCTCCTTCACTGCTTTCTCCTCAAGATACTAGTTTGTTAGGGTAGTAAAGACGAGGGAAAAAGCTTCCTTTAAATATCAGCATCCTCCTTCTGCACTGCTTGTGTTACATATATCTATTACTTTTACAATGTTAATATTTGTATTTATATCCTGCTAAAAAGCCACTTTTAGGTCTTAGTTGTCCATAGGTTTGGGCCCATGTTAGAGCCCCACTCAATCAGAAAGACTACTTGCAAGACAAAGTTAAGTATGTTAAATAAGTTTTTGTGGAATCAGGGCCTTCATTTGGGGTCCTGACTTTGAAAGTCCTTGGCCCTGATTTTTGGAAGTGCTGAGCACCCATGTTTCATTTGAAGTCAGCACCTCCAGATACTCAGGACCTTTAAAAATTAGTCCTAAGGTATTTCAAGATGCATATTTCCAAACCTAAGAACCAGGGCCTTCAGCTTCCTCAAGTGTACAGAAGGGATGCACTATTTCACTGGCACTGTACCTGTGAAGAGATCACCAACCATCCCCTGGGGCAGCATCCAGAAGCAAAAATGGTCGTCAAGGTTTGTAGTCAACCCTTGTCATACAGCCTTCCCTTCTGAGAAATCTGTACGTTTCATCTTGCTGGAATGAAATAAACAGGCTGATTAGATACTCTGCATCAGCTGACCATGCTGCCAAAACAGTATGACCTTTCAAACTAGGTATGTTACTTCAAGTAAACAGTTGACACATACGTCACTGTTTATCAAGCATGGGATAGAGGAGGATCTTTTTTAGGAAACAGAAGTAGCACATTATTACACAGTGTCCTTGAATCTTTTTTTACAGTGATGAAGGCCTCATGGAGAAGATGGCATGCTTTCCCATAAAAGCTCTTATTTGCATTACTAACTGCAAAGTGTGCTCTCATTTATTCCAAAATATTGAAGCAGATGCCATCCTTTCCTAGCTCTACATGCTCTTGTGAAACAACCTACACCCTTGTGAGAATATGGCTTTCCCTTATGATACCTACTTAATTATGGTCTGATGCAGCCATGTTAAAACTAACAGGGTGTAATAACAGCTGTGCAGGCGGAAGCAAAACTTTTCCAGGAATTATATTCTAGGGAGACAGTATTAAAGTCACTGTGTTATTTTAGGCAAGTCACTAGTAATCATTTTCAAGACTGACCGCTTACTTACAGTCTCTCAGGTTTTGGCATATGCAGCTTGAAATACCATAGGCCTCATTTTTAAAGGTCCTGAGCATCTAGAGGTGCTGATTTCAAATGAAACTATGGGTGCTCAGGAATTCCAAAAATCAGGGCCAAGGACTTTTAAAGTCAGGACCCCAAAACAGATACATCCAAACATGCTTTTGAAAATTCTGGCCTTCACTTTTTTGAGATTCAAACTTCTTCTAAAAAAAGGGGGGAACAAAACAGCCTGCCCATTTTTGCAAAGCCCCTTCAGATCCTCCAACGCAAGACACTATGCAAGGCATATATTATTATTCCCATTTTCACCTGGGGATGCAGGTGCAATTAGAGATCAAACTTTTTTAACCTAAGATCACCCCAAGTATGATGAAACACTGACTAAAACAAATTCTCCATCTATTGCTGCTATACGTAATTTGCAAACACCCCAAAAACATGAAAAGCAAGCAAAAACAGCCTTTTCAGGCAGGACTGATGATGTTGAATTGCTTGGCTTGAAATGCTGTTTAGGAGTCAGATTGTTGAACACGTGCTTCACCTCCTATAAGTACGGACCTACTGAATTCACGGCAGAAATGGGGTGTGCTGCAGCTCCTTTAATTTTCCGAGTGTCCCTCCACCCTGATTGGTGGAGGAGCCACACTTGCAGTTCACGTTTGATCGGTGGGAAGGCAAAAACAGCAGTTTTAAATATAGCGCTGTTTTTGCCTCCCACTGACGATTGGCTGAGGGGTCCCAGGAGTCCCGATGCTTGTGCTGACCGGTGAGGAGGCAAAAAACATGTCGTGTTTAAAAACTGTGGTTTTCGCTTCCCTGCCAATCAGGAGGGAGTGGTGGGGCCCCTCTGCCAATCAATGGCAGAGGAGAGGGGCATGTGGGAGAACATGAAAGATTACAGAAGCTGCCACGCACCCCACTTCTGCTGTGAATTTGGTAGATCCCTACCTATAAGGCATATCAAGCTGGTGATCTAAATACTGGCCATTACCCCTTTCACATGTTTAAATATTGCACATCACAAACAAGATGGCGGTGATGATGATGATTTATGTGATTCAAAGAGGAAGGGTGATATGCTTTCAGTAACTGGCAGGGCACTGGAGAGGAATGAAAGACAGCTGCCCTGCAAAAAAGGTTTGAGGAGGGGGAGATTAGACATGAATGTTGACGTGCAACCCAGTAATTTCACCTTGGGGATGGGCAGGAAGGGGTAGATAGCATGACCATTAAAGAGGAAAAAGCCCCATGACTTGAAAACAGAGTAGCTGGAAAGGGAGAAGTTTCCATTACCAACCACAATCCAGGGTTGAGACAGAGAAAAGAGTTTGGAAAAGATTCTGAATTTGTTTTCCACTAGGTCAAGTTTGAGATGTTGGTAAACCACCCACAATGAAATAGTAAGCCACACAAGGCTGAACCAGAGAAGAACACAGTGGTTAATCTGAGACTCACTAGAATTAAAGCAGTTAAATGCAAGTGGATGAATTTATCTAAGAACAGTGAAATAGAGATCCACAGAAAATTCCACCAAAGAATGCTTTAGCACATTTTTAGCATGGGCATAGGAAGGTTAACATGGAAATTCTTGGAAAATAGTAATACTTCATGGGAGCCAAGAGTGGAAACAGGGACACAAGAACATAAGTTGCACAAATGACACCTAAGACTCCATTGTCTGCATCTGGCTCTTCCTTTCAAGATACTCCCCTTTTATGATTCTGCCTTGCTACTCTTAAGTTGATTTAAAAAAACCAAAACAAAACTCTGTATGTCACATTTCATACAGACATTACCAGTCAGCAAACAGCAACAAGTTAAATCCAAAAGACAGGCATAAAGATTTTAAGCATGCAATATCATATATGGGTAGGAACACTGGTATTTGATGTACTGTTTTTATACACCAGAATATCCACTGGCACAAGGCACAGTACTTTATGTAAAACTGTGCTTGGTGCAATAATATTATGCAAAGCTCAAGTAGTTGGTATAACAACCAATTATAAACCCCATTGCACTTCCTTAGCACAATTCCCCGCTCTGTTACCCTTGCTCAGCACACAATTACTCTCATATCAGCATTGCCAGAACATGCCAAACCACACATAGCAGAACATGGCACACAAGGCCATTTTGCTCAGCCTGCCATAGCCTGGGCTGCTCGCAGCAGGCAGTCAGGAGGCTGCAAGCCCTGCTGTAAGCAGCCCAGGCTCCATGGCAAGCAGTAGCTGCCCAGAGCCTGGGCTGGTTGTGGCAGTCAGCTAGGAGGCTGCAGACAGCTACACTGGGGTCCAGAGCCCCGGCACACAGCGGGGGAAGGGACTGCGGCAACGTAACCCCAGCCCCTCCACCACCATCCGCCTGGAGGCACACGTGCACCACTGCCAGCAACAAGGATTAGGCCCCTCATGGCTCCCCCACCATCTGCCCCTGGCATGCCAAGTCGAGGCACAGGTTAAGACTCGGGTGTTTTCAGCACTCCAGCCAAAAACACTACTGACCCCTGGGCCAGAGAATATTTTTCTGCCTCTGGACTCTTCTACCCAAGAGGTTTTACTTTCCCAGCTGTGCAGGCACCCATGAGGTACATCACACCCACACAGCACCAACATTTCTCCCTGCCTCTCCACAGCACATGCGCTAGAAGGAAATATTTTGTAAATATCATGCTTGTGCTAGCCTCTGCAATTATTATTTATTAAATCTAGTTCAAAAATTTAAACATTTTTTCTGTAAATTTTGTGCAGAAATATCCCATTTTGGTGCAGGGAAAACAATTGGAATGCAAGGCCCAGATCTGCCTTTTATCCTTCTTCCAGCACTGCAGGAGAACCAGCGGCTTTATTTTAATGGATAGTTTCATCATTATGTTCTTTTAATATTAAGTTCTCAAATGCTCGCAACAAAAGCATAACAGGAGAGTGAAAGTCAATACTGGACATCAAAGGGGAGCAAAAACATCCACAAGTCAAGCAGAGCCTTCAAAGCCCCTTCAGCTTGGTATAAAGTAGCACTCACCCTTGGATCCAGACTCACACTGGTACTTAAAAAGCCTGCTGGATGGGGTGGGGGGGGAGCAGTAAGAGAAGGATAAATCACAGAAATCAAAGGAAATGAGGGTTGGAAGGGACCTCAGGAAGGCAGCTAGTCAAGTCCCAGGGCTGCTTCCCTGAACACACAAGAGTCCTGAGACTCTTGCAGCTACCCCTCAAGGATGAGGTGCAGGGGGGCCCTCATCCCTAAGGTGACTGTGAGCTAAGGGTCAGGCAGGAAGGTTTTATTGAGGACAAGGGCACAGGAGTGGTCTGCTCTCCCCAATCCACAGCACCTGCCTCCTTTTTGAGCAGGGCGGTGTGGGGGGAAGCATGTGGGATCAGGTAGAGGAGGAGTGCTAACAGGTAAGACTGTGGGTGAAGGGAAAAGCCCCACCCCATGGCCTGTCCCCCCTCAGCCTACACTGCCAATCCCTCCCTGCCACGTGAAGCCCACATATCCGGTGTCAGTCTCATCACCCACCAGCCCCTCCCAGCGGCCTCCCAAGTAGATCCCTTATTATAGGGTGTGTTATCGCCCTCCGGGGCGCCCTGCTCCCGCTCTCGGACCTGCCTATACTAGGCGCACGCTAACACCCCTCCCCCCGCCCCGCACGCACGCACGCACAAACAACCCAGCTTCCTCGCCCCAAAAGCCTCCCCCCACGTGACCTGCTCCCCCCCCCCCACCAGCCCCCTGAAACCTCGGTGACATCACAAGGGCAGCTCCCCCACTCGGCGTTACTCACACGAGGAGTGCGGCAGGGACAGAGTGAGTCACAGGCCCGGCAAGCGCCATTTTTGTCGAGGGCAAATGAGCCAAGCGGAACCACTGAGGAGGGCGGGGAGGACATTTCTGCTAAGGGTGGGAGCGGCACCGAGGCCGCCATCTTTGTTGTGGGCACGGACTGCGCGCGCCACAAAGTGACCCCGGGAAGCGACCGGCCGCCCCCAGGACTAGGTGCCGAGGGTGTAAGCAAGGAACACGGCCGCGCATGCGCTCTCTGGCGCATGCGCAGACACACGCTCACAGGCACAGTCTCTCACCGTCGCACGCGCATGTGGTTATACACGCTCTCACTTCCCACCGGCCTGGGCACAGCCCTACTCCCTGATGGGAGGGTCCCCCTGCTTGCTGTTGCAGTTCGTCCCCGCCACTGAAATCAACTCTCAGCTCTCCATGGAAGTAAATATATTTTGTGTGTGCTTGCATTCACATGTTGCAGGGGTTTGGGTTGTAGCCGTGTTGGTCTAAGGACATAGGCAGACAAGGTTCCTTGGGTGAATTTGATATCTTTTATTAGACCAACCCAAATGGTTGGAGAATAGTTATTAAGCAAGCTTTCGGGTTTTTGAACCCGAAAGCTAGCTTGCATTCACATGGCAGGCAAGGGTCTTTGAGTCAGTCTGATCTCTTTTATTACACCAATTCAAATAGCTGGAAAAAATCTTGGCAAGCTTGCAGATATAAAGACCCTTCATCTGGCTGAAGAAGCATCTGCGGTTGGTTTGTGCTCTTTCTGGATGCTTCCTCAGCTGGACAAAGGGTATTTATACCCACAAGTTTGCAAAGAAGACTTTTTCCAGCTATTTGAGTTGGTCGAATAAAAGAGATCACATTGACCCAAAAAACCTTGTCTGTCTGTGTCCTTAGACCAAGGGCAGGCAATTATTTTGGGCGGAGGGCTGCTTACCCAGTTTGACAAGCTGCCCAGGGCTGCATGGGTAGCCCTGCCCCTTGACAGGTTCCCCAGCCTCTGGTAGCCATCTTGAGACCAATGTCCCAGTGTCTTGGGACCAGTGTCCCAGGGCCAGCACTGGTGGGGCCTAGAGCAGGGCACAGGCTGGCAGGGGTCTGGAGCCGGGCTGGGCTGCACCAGCAGGGTGGGGGGAGCTGGCCCAGCTTCATAGAGCCCCTGCCGGCTGGGACCCTGTACCCCTGCCGCCCTGGTCTGGGCCCTGCCCACACTGGCCTTGAGACACCCGTGCGGGCCCTGTGCTTCTGCACCTGCTCACTCCCAGTGCCCTCCAGCCCTGCGGTACAGGTGGGGGCCAGCACATAGCCCCAATCCCCTGCTCCCATCAGGGAAGGAGCTGGTGTGGAGCATAGCGAAAAGCAGCCCCTCACCTGCCCCGTAGCCTGTGTTCCCTGCTGCAGCCGCTTGCAGCCTGCGCGGGGCTGTCCTGAGCCGCTTTTCCCCCCACCGTGCTCAGCACCAGCTTGTAACCTGTCCCCACTGCCAGTCCCACACCGGCTCCAGGCTTGCCTGTTGGGGCTGCACCATGGCGGCAGCAGTTGTGGCCCCCCCCACTTACCGTGCTGGGCAGCGTTTGCTGCTGCTGCCCGCCCAGAGCTCGCGCCGCGGTAGGCTGCGGTGAGGCTGCCACCGCCACCTCTGTGCTGCCCAGCACACAAGCTTGGGGAGGGGAACAGGAGCAAACACTGCCCGGTGCGGCAAGCAGGAGGGCCGCTTTCTTCCATTCCGAGCAGCTGCTGCCACCGTGGCGCAACCCCGATGGGTGAGCCCACAGCCGGCGCTGGACCAGGTTACAAGCTGGTGCTGAGTGCGGGGCAAAAACGGCCCCTCGCCCACCCCTGTAGCTAGCATCCTGCGATGCAGCCCCTTAAGCCCATGTGGGGCTGTCTGTGCCTGCTCAGGACAGCCCCACGCGGGCTGTGAGCGGCTGCAGCAGGGAACATGACAGGCTCTGTTCAACTTTGCCAGCTAAGGGAGTAAGTCCCAAGGTCATATTGTAGAAAGCTATCACAGAGCCAGACCTTATGGGATACAGAGGCTGTCTGAGGACAGGGAATGGGCTAGAAGCCAGTCGGCTGCTGGCAGAAACACTGCCATTAGCATCCAGGCAAACAGCTGGTCAGGAAAATGGAAACAAGCCTGCTGGAGGAGAGCCCTACCAGAAAAGCTTGGCTTAGCCCCTGCCCCCTGGCTAGGGGAAAGTAAATAAGCTTGTCAGGTGCCTGCAAGCCAGGCGAATGGTGTAGCATTTACGTTTGGAGAAAATCCAAGTCAAGTCCTGAAAAAGAAGGACGGAAATCCTGCAGCTGCTGTGCTTTCCCGGTTGCAGTGTCCAGGGAGCTAGTTCATGCCTGTGAGTTCATAGGGAAGGTGACCCTAGGAAGGTTCTTAAGGACCAGCATTTTGGCAGACCTAGTGATAGTAACCATGGCTTTCTATAGCACTTGTGCTGTCCTGGGGTTTTTTCTGTAGCCCCTTTAATAGGGACGCACTTAGATTTATAAGCACCTCCCGCCCCTGCAACATAGACAGCTCTAACTTCCTTCATGTCACAGTTCACCAGGTCAGCCAGCCTAGTAAGTAGAGCCAGGCACAGAGCTGGGGGTTACAGGGGTGATGGTCAGGAACCAGGAGCCTAGTTACCAAGTCCAAAGGATAACCCACAGGGCAAAGTCCAAGAGTAAGTCCAAGCTGGGTTCAGAAATCAGGAAACAGACCTACAGAAAGAATCCAAAGGTAAATCCAGAAGCAAGCCAAAGACCAGGTCAGGAACCAGGGAAGCCAGAGATGTTGCTAGAACTAGAGCTGCTCAGAGATTGAAGACCAGTCTGTTGTGCAGCAAAGCTCAAGTGCTGGAGGAGTTCCTTGAATGCAGCTCCAGAGCCAGAGGGAAGGGGCTGGGTATCAGCTGGCCTTGATAAATAGTGACTAAGTCAGTGCACTGAGGGCAGGAGTTTGTCTGAGCCTTACAAAGCTGATCCAGGCTGGAATGCAGGAGCCTTACACTCCCCAGCTGATTGAATCACTGTTGTATAGCTACTGCCCCTTACTTGCCTGCTATTTTCCCACCCAGTCTGGAAGTAGCATCTTTATCTCTCTCTGACTTCTGCGGCCCCTTCACTATGCCTGGATCAGGAGACAAGAGTTCCAAACCATTGATTTCTTCATGGAAAGTGAGTTTGGTGGTCAGGTAGGGAATTCAGGATCTGCTCCTTAGCTGAAGGAAAGCTACAGCTCTGCTAATATATGCTAGAAGTGGATTGTTAAATTGCTTAAACACTTATTTTGTAGTAAGCACCTAGAAAAGCCAACTATGTTCCAGGTACTACATATGGAAAATTACACTTTCTGTCTTGTACCTAGAGGAGGGGTTCTCAACTTTTTGGACTCAAGGCCAAGGTTCCCTGTAAGACGCGCATGCGCAGCTGTGCACAAGTAAAAGTCTGGCCGCTCACACACTTTTTTAGGCCACGCACCCACCGGGATAGGAGTTGCGCTACGGTGTGACACACAGAAGGTAAGCTCCTCCCCGAGGCGGGAGCCTGGTGGGGGCTCCGCTGGCTCCAGGGCTGGCTCTGTTACCCCACTTCGCCTTAGTGAGCGAGGAGGCACGTGGCATCAGGGCCAGGATGTGGAGCAGTTCCCCAGAGCCATTGGAGCCCGCGTAGCCTGCACCAGCCCCCAGCCCTAGCCTCCATCCCTGCCTTGCCTCATCTCCGGGAGGAGTCTGCCCCGAGTAAGGCTCCACCAGCTCCAGGGAACTGCTCCACTCCTCGACTCTGACGCCACGTGTCTCCTCACTCCCCGAGGCAATGTGGGGAAGCAGAGCAGTGTCCCAGAGCCGGTGGAGCCCGCACCAGGCTCCAGCCCCTGGCCCTAGCCCCCCGATCATAGCCCCACAGGCCCCTAGCCCCAGTTCCCCCAATCCCTCAGCCCCTGCTGCCTGCCCTGGGTGAGAAGTGAGGAGCTTACCTTCAGTAAGTGGCCCATGCTGGACCAAAGCAGCACGCTCACGGACCGCTACTCCTTAAAGGGAACATTGCTCAAGACAGCCCCCATTGGATTTGAGATGCCCCTCACTGAACTTGAGGCACTCCTCCATAACTTTTCTGAAGTGAGTGGCACCTGATTTTCAAAAACTAATTTATATATTACAGGGCTTACCTCCTTGCAGAGGGGTTGAGCAGTGTGGGCAGGGGATCAGCTAGGCAGGGACAAGCCTGAGCCTGCATTTATCTGCTTATCCCCTTACACCTCCTAGCACCCTGGTTGAAAAAAATCACTAGCTAGAAAATATGGCACATCACATGGAGGAAAGAGACAGAAGCAAATGAGCAGAGAAAATATAGTAAAAACATAAAGGTAGTATGCAATTCTCAGCCAGTTAGATGCAGAAATCATAACTGGATCTTACCCTGCATCTCTGCCACAGCTCTCCTGGCACTGACATCAGAGAGCAGGAAGGCAAAGGGGGATGGGGAGTGTAAGAGTGGCATCTGTAAATAGGTTATGCAGACTTAAAGATTTGGCTGCTCAAACCAGTCAGGTCCACTGTTTTTTGGAAGTCACAGCAGTCACAATAATGAAAGTCTAGATTAGGATTTCCTGCTTCTCTTCAGTTTCTACAGAAACATGGTCCTCTTGCTCTTTCAGTAAGGCAGAACGTCTCTTGTATCTTGCCATGTCATTGTGAACTATGAACCTGTTACCTTTGCTTCTCAGGGACTGACTGCATCATCAGCCAAAGAGGGAAAAATGATCTTAGAATACTTTGGTCAATTGCTGTAAAAAGATAGGTTCTTACTCTGCCTCTCCCTTATCACTGATCAGTGTGCTAGAACTGCTTCAGAATTTATGTTTAAGGTTGGCTAAAGTGGGAGGCACATGTAAGCTGGGAAATGTAAAATTGAGGCTTACACCTGATTATTTAGCTAAGGTGACTGAGAAGGAAGCATAACATTCAGAGTCAAATAGGGGGTATAGAAATAACCAAGAAGGATGCATTGCATTCAAAACCTTGTCAAGATTATGCCACCTGTGCAGTTGGTCCAGTTAACGATATCACCCACATAAATCGTAAATTCTCTGCTGTCACTGATCAGCATAAGAGCTAATGCTATGAACTGGACCTTCAGAATGTTGAAGGTAAAGGGCCAGAACCTCAACTGGTGTCAATCAGTG